TCATATAGCTGACTTCCCAAGGTTCCACGGACAGACCACGTACTCACAAGTTCACACTAACGTAATTGTAATGGTTACTTGCTAGTCTCAAAATCCTAACTTATTTTAACAGACAGCATGTTCCTCAATACTCAGGAATCACCAAACTGTCTAAATTTTGCTTTACATTTATTCTCCAGATCAACAGTATGATTTTCTGTATTGAAAAGATTTACTGAAATCACTTATTCTAATGCTGTCAGTAGTATTCTGCTATAATTATGTTCAGATCAGATTTTTTAAAAATTTGACAGCTTCGGCCAGCAATCTCATCCACCCTACACGTCACACCTTCGTACACTCCAGTGTCGCCACAAAGTAAATCTGATGATTCACTTGATTCTTAATCAGAAAAGATTATTTGTCCACTGTTACTTTGACCCCTCCACAGAGTCAGACTAAGACAGATGGAGCAAAGCAGATCAAAGAGTACTCAAGGACTTCTACACTTGTACTCTGACTTCACAGTAAAGGCTACATAAAAGGTATTTTCTGCATACAAAACTTTGAGTGAGATTTCATTAATAACTTATCAGAAATTTAAAAAATACCGACTTGAATAATTTGTTTCATATGAAAAGAAACCATTTAACAGAGATTCTTATCAGCTCATTCTGACAAATTTTAAGGCGTATCACACTGTTACTTTTCATATTTGACATCATCCAACACTTGCTCAGAAGGAAGACATCAAATTAGAAGTCAAGCAAAGCTTTTGGAAAGAGCTATGGGACATGCATGCCAAACTGCAGTGACTGGTATTTCATCTTGCAGTCTGGCAACAACCTACTTGGGAACCAGTTCACCTAAACATGTCAATTTTAAAAGATTCATAATTTCAGAAAATTGGATATTTAATCAGGCACTGTAAAATGGGACCATGCTCATGTCAGAACCATGCTTAATTATCATCTACGTAAAAGGTGACCTCTTCTTAAAAAGACATGAGAGGGCAGGCAAGAGGTTTCTTCCTGGAGAATCTAGGAAGGATTAGTAACATGCTCTGTACTGGATCTGTAAAGAGATAAATGCTGACAGGTTTTACAAGGTCACACCTGGAATCCATATGGAACCCTCCTCTTGCTGGTGGAGGAAGGGGAAGTATCACCAGCCTTACCATGTAAGAAGCCCAGGACTGGTAGCCGAAGCCGCTAAGCATACCTACTAAGCAGCTGAAGCTTGGGAAGTATGAGGCCTTGCTCCCAAATGTATATGCAGCATTGTATAGCTCTCAGGCCTTCTGCCCATTAACCCAATTTGCAGTCAGATTAAGAACTGTTTGAGATGCTACATCCTCTTTACCCATTGATCAATCTCCTTCTTCTCAGGAAACTCAACCCTAGGCATGGGTAGCCAAGATACCAATCTTGAAGCCCATAACAACAGAAGACTGCACTTAAGCTACATTTTCAGAAATAAAACATATACCCAACTACAGCTATTCCCTACTAGTAGAAATAGGGAATTGCTACACAGTTAGCCTGGTCTCAATGCAAATTTTGTAGAAAGCAGCATGTTGCCCTCTCTTGATGCACCCTGTGTTTGTCTGATGTTATAGAATTACTACTTCGATTGAGACCAGAATTTCAAGTCTTCCCAAGCATGTAAAAAAGCCTCTCTTGTAAAGAATGCTAAATAACGGTCTTCCAGAAGAACACAACTTTAAAGAGTATCACATGCAGTACTCCTAAGTCTGACTAGTAGGTCTCACTAATTCATAGTTCCCTCCTAATTTCAGGAATTCTATCCTTACAAAGACACCCCTTCTATAATCAGTGTCAGCCTATGCAACAGGGAAGTCAGAAATTTGGAAGTGTGCTTTAATTTGCTTCATTCTTGAGGCACAGATTTGCCTGAATAAATCCATTAGTATGTTTTTATCCATGGCTGTTCAGTAGATGATTTTAATGTGGAAGCTGGCATCCCAAATTAAGTGTGATGTGACGACACTGCTTTTGGTTCAATCAAGAACCACTTCAAGGAACCTAGCCACAAGCACTGATGGGCTTACCAATACCATTTCAGGTTTTTCCCCACTCTGTTCAAAGTGGCATCATTAGAAAGTATCCAATCCATAAGCCATGCAGTGATATCCACAATGTTAATGGATCAAATTATACATGCATGTCACTCCAGGCTAAAACCCGTAGATCTTTAGAACACCAAAGATACTATTTCCCTCCTCCAAAAGCACAAGAATAGTGCTGGATAGCCTGCCAGACAGCAAAGGGTGACATTGTGGTGGGTGCCTTTTAGCAAATATAGCCAGTTAAACGTGACTTAGATGTAGTAAAAAATAATTCACCCAGATTATCCTTAATGTCTCTGCTTCTCCTGAAAATGGCATTTTGTTAGTCTCGCAGCAGTAGACTTGATAAAGTTGCATTCAAGTTTACTCACTTCCTGTCATCCAGAAAAGACTGTGTTCCCTACTGTAGACTCTTAATATGCTAGCTACATAGAGAAAGTTTGAAAAAAATGTTTAAGTTAATACAAACCTGCATACGACATTTCACTAAATCCAGAGGTACAACAGCAGTGTGTGTCAGGCCACAACTTAGGACCCCACCAACGCCACAGAGAGCATAAAACTTGAGCGAGCCATATTCACAACTGTATTCTGCAGCAAAAAATAAAGACACACCATGCTTTTACATAAACTCCATGCACTGTTGGACAATGATGTCCAGGGGATAGCTTATGCCTCCAATTCATTAGTAGATTAATTATACCACACTAAACATGCTTTGTCAATGTCGCCACATACCAACATGCAGAACAAACCTGTATTCTGCATTTAACCAGGTCTAGAGGAACCAGTGCTGTATGTGTTGTTCCACAGCTAATAATCCCACCAAGGCCACAAAGCATAAAGAATCTGCCTGAGCCATATGCACAGCTGTATTCTAGTTAAGTGAAAAAAAATTACATATACATTATCAATCATAAATGGTAACAGAGATCAGAAAAGAAACAAAATTGACTGAGTGCTACCTTCTCAGAAGTATTAAACTAAAATAATCTCCCACACTGTATTATTCAAGTGTAGCGTTATACTCAAAAATAATTCCCTTGCTTTAAATTAACACCTTTTGGATTGACATGATTGGATTCTAGGCCTTCCAAATCTAGTTTGTTCCTTTAAAAAAAAGAAATGGAAGAAAACAGTCAAGTTTTAGCTCACAGCACACTTAAAACATGAATCCCAGAAGCTGCTACTAGAAATTATGACTCGAAGTTGCAACTTCCAACATTTTCTTGTTTCAAAGAATTAATTAAGCAAGGAGAGTGTTTCTCTAGTATTCTGGAGACAAAGCTTCTTTGGTTAAATACTCTGCAATAGCGCAGCTTCTGTATTTGAGTAGAGACCATACAGATCTAAGAGATCAGCACTGGATTTTTCTTTATACAGATACATTTTCAGAATTTTTCACTTTTTTTTAATACAGATTTTAAAAATTTTCTTTCAAATACAGAACCTCGGATTTATGCAGGTTGTTTAATGAAATTGCAGAATTTTCTAAGTTAATCACCATATTCAATACTCATAAACAAGGTTCATTAAAAGAATCTTTCAGATCACATTTGATCAAGGGGTATTTTATTTGCACTGTTCCATACAGTACTGTGTATAAATCCATCCAGTCTTAAAAGAGCAAGTTATTAATTTTCACGAATTCCAATAGATCAAAGCTACTGGAACTGAAAAAGAAGAATCAGTTTCCCTCTTCCATTTTTGAAGGAGCTACAGAGGGTACGATTACATGAAACCAGAAAACACTTAAGTTTACAATTAACAGTATGAAATACGCATAAGGTAACAGCAGAGTTCTGCTGCTATGCTTCGCGTTTTAAGTATATAAGCAAAAGTAAAACTGAATAAGCATATAGAAAACAATTAGAAAATATTCCTCAGATTAGGTTCTTAAAGGGATAATCTAGGTTCTTTTGCTATTAGATCTAGTGCTATTACTCCAATATAATGGAACAGACACTAAAATGTTATACCAACTTAATAAGAACTATCTCCAGATAAACACTGAAAATCAAAAGGCAGCAAAACCCTATCTTATTCAGAGCTTTTTTGCCCTGCCTTTTTACTTCTGAAATAAAATTCCTTTATGAACATGAACAAAAATTTGCAATTACATTCAACAGCATCTACAGAGTACCAGTTAACACTAGCAGGCTTATCCAGCTCATAACTTCCCTATTACAAGGGAACTTCTTCCCCAAAACAACCCATATGTTACACTGCATTTTACATTCAGATTTCTCACCTTACTCTTCAAAATCAATCACCAAGGCGATAAAAATGACATTTTTTTTCTTTGTTCTAAAATAACAAACACCAAATCACAGACACTGTATCAAGCCTAAACTTAAAAGTGAGGAATCGGTTAACAGTCAGAATAATGCAAAATTTGTGAGATTTTATTTTTTTTCAATTGAGATGCTGCTCAAGACTGTAAATATGCTGGTCCAGGACTTAACACATACCTCTAAAACAGCCTGGTTATGCTAGCAGATTTGCAGACAGCAGTAATATTATGTTTACAGCTTGCCAGAATGACTGGTTAAACAAACACAAACAAGGCTTCCTATAAAGGTGTAATCAGAGAACAGACTCTGGGTCCGTATTACAGGGCAGCTCTGTCTAGCTGCATCTTTGGCCTGCAGCACAACAGCACTGCAGTGCACAACCACACTGCCCAGATAGCAGAAGTGTTTGTTCACGCTCCCTCTTTCACAACAATTTAGTTAGAAGTCATACTCCTTAACTGACAGAGACAGACATTTGTAGAAGCCACAGAAAAGTAGAGCTTTATGTATCTGCTTTATTACAATGGTATTTAGACTGACCTGCTGGCTAGGTGTTCAAAAACAGTAATTACGAAAAGCCACCCAGTATCCATTAGGCTTGAGCTCTTTACAGTTGCCTAAGTTCATAGTCATATAGCAGTATCAGGAAAAAAAGCCATAGTAGATCCAAGACTTTCTATTTCAGAAGTAGAGACGAATTTCCTAAAAACTGTTACCTGAAAACCAGCTAAACATGTAGTACAGAGGGCAAGAAAGTTATTCTAACATACCTAGACCCTGACTTAAGACAAACACCCTGGAGCTACTCAAACAGCACAAACCCATGTCTACTTTGTTAAGACAGCTGTATCCTAACTATTTCATTTCTTTGCTTCCAGCCTGACACGTTAACAAGGACAAATTCCAAGAGCTGACTGTAAAACACTTTGTCTCTGAGCTGTACTAGGGCTGATGTCCCAAGCTGAACTCAAAAGGTCTTGTGGTTTGTACTGACTTTGTGTGACCTTGAATAAGCTCACATATCTTCTGCAACGTGTTACCAACTGGTATGTGAAATAATGAACGTAGGAGAAAAGAGTACAAAGACTAAGAAACTCTGGTTACCTTTCACTGCATTTGCCTACAAGCAGGATGAAGATTAAACATAATGCTTTTAAGAAATAAGTGCACCTACTGAATACGTTTAGCACTCTGAAGAGTGATTTAGTGCTTTACTTAACTAGCAATAAGATTACTTTACTACACTGAAAACCAGAAGTACTTTCCTGAAAACTTAATAAAATCCAACACCCAGTTCTGTATCTCTTTCATGTATGACATGAATGTTCACACAAGAGCATTACCTCTTCTGAAGTACTGTGAAGTGTTATCTTGCTGAAAGGACTTCATTTATTTTTTTTTTTTTAAATAAGGGCAGAGGGATGCTTTTAGGCTATTAACAGCTTAAAAGAATTAGAATTTTAACATCTACCTCCACTATTAGGAGTATCATCAAGGTCTGACCTTTGGAAATCATGACAGTGATTAGGAAACATACGGGAAGCACTTGCACTTAAACCTAAAACACATCACTGCATCTTAGACAGCAGAACTATCTGGTGTATGCCCCACAACTACAAAGAAGAAAACAAGACAAAACAAAACAAAAAAAACCAAAACCAAAAGCCAGAACAGGTGCAGGCACCTCTAACGTGTCTGGATGCTCAGATGTCCAGCTGAAAATGAAGAAAAAAAAAAGAAAAAGACAAAAGCATGGGAGAGAGAGCCTTTCAAATCCATGCAGATTCACATGTTCCTCTTCGCCACGGAAGAAATAAGTACGGGCCTACAGCCTCAGTCGCCGAGGCTGCAGGCCCAGCAGCGCCAGAAAAAGCACTCTTACCCCGCAGGCGGGCTCCATCGGGGGTCTCTGCCGTTACCCCGAACCAGAACCTTCCCGCCTCCTTTCCCCGGATCCTTGCTGCCACTCAGCGCACTCCCCGCGGGGCGCG